CAAAGTAAAAAACTAAAATTTAAATTAAAACTTGTCACAGTTTTGAAATATAAAACATGGAAATAAAGCTTAAATTTAAATGTTTTAACAGATGATAGAAAAATTGGAAAAAGAAATCCGAAGGCGCATTGGCATAGTAAAAAATAATTTCGGAAAATAAAAACACAGTATTTGGAAACAAGAGAATTTCATTAGAAATTGCTCTGTGATATCAATCCTCCAATATGGTAGTGAATAGTGAACAGTTTCATCACGGATGAAACGAAGACTTGAGGAAACAGAAATATGGTTCTACAGAAGGATGCTGAGAATGCCATGGACGGAGCATGGGAGCAACGAGGAAGTTTTGAGGAAAACAGAAGCAAAAAGCAAAATAGAAAAAAAAATAGAAACAACTTGTACTTAGAATCAGAAAGAGAGAGTTAAAATTTCTACGGCACATATTGAGGAAAGAATACTCGGAAGAATTGACATTCACAGGACATATTGGAGGCAAGAGGGAAACAGTGAGTAACCCATGTAATGAGCTTAAACCATTTGATAGCAGAACAGGGAATGAGTGAGACCGTAAAAAAACAAAACAAAAAAAAACACACTGCTGAAAGTTAAAAGGATAAGAAATTGTGAAGAGACATGATCGCCCACATCCTGAAAAGATACGGCACATTGAAGGACAATATACAAGTACTTTTAAGGACTGTAACGGAATAATAATAATAATAATAATAATAATAATAATAATAATAATAATAAACAAAAAGAACACTTACAAAGACAATTGAAATTTCTAGTACTCATAATGAGGAGAGAAGGTTTGGAGAGTTCTGAAATATGAAACTTGGAAATAAAGCTTAAATTTGAGTGTTGTAACAGATAACAGAAAAATGTGGCACCGAAATCAGAAGATGCGTTGAAACAGAACAAAAGATGATCTCGAATAACTAAACAAAATATTAAGAAACAAGAAAATTTCAATAGTAGATGTTGATAACTATGTAATATCAATCCCCATCTGGCAGTAAATGCTGGACACTATCTTCACAGATGAAGAGAAAGCCTGTGGTTCTACAGTAGGATGCTGGGAATGTCATGAGTCGGACATGTTAGAGGACGTTTTAAAGGAAAATTAAAACAAAAGAGGCATTTATAGATGGTGAAAGTTGGAATTTCTAGGACACACTATGAGAAAAGAGGGCTTGGAAAATCTGACACTCACGGGGCAAGAGGGAAACAGAGATTAACTTACATTACGAGCTTGTATAAATGGAAGGCAGAACAGAGAAGGGGAAGGATAATAAGAACAAATATTGTTAAGTGCTATGAAGGATAGGAAGTTGTGAAGAGCCACGACCAGCTAGGTTTTAAAATCTCGGTATCGGAGCAGTTTAAGTCTCAAATTAAAAAATCTTAAACTTTAAGATTTTCTGATTTGAGTGCAATTGCTCATAAAGGTGTTGTTATCGCGTCTTGGCTTTCTTGTCAGGATCAAAGCGTAGTATCTGTTTTCCCCGCATTTGAGATGGCGCTCGGTCCGGATGATACCAAGCCTGCAGCAGCACCTTCCTCATTAAAGCGTTTTTTTTAATTGCTTAAAATTTAACTTGGAACATATATAAATTGAATTTTTTGTCGTATGGTCGGCGACTAAACCTGCTCCCTAATCCAATTTATTGCGAGTAAGACTGGTCGTTAGCAACTCTATACGATAAAAACTAAAACCTACCAACGGGCGGAAAACCGCTTGACGAGGCAGCGGTGAGCTAACTAGAGATGGTGTCTCAATAATATCACAGTGGAGAAGGCAACGGGAAACTACTCGACTATTAATCCCAAGATTATTCCTGGATTTAATTAATACAAAACAAAATAACTTCAAACCTGAAGCACGGCTTTACGAGGTAAACTGTAAATAATGTCATAAGATTTACATATGAAAACCATTTAATAATCGTAAGAACTTAACAAAATATAATGCTACTTTATGATGGACCATTCTCAATTTAATGACTGAATAAACTCCTTGAAAATTCTACAACTACAAGATACCCGTGGAAATTCCCCTATTGCATCGTTAAGTATATGAGCACTGACAAAATATCACAATAACAACCATAAGCATGAATGCAGGTCATTATTTAAAAAAGAGGGTACAAATGAAAAGATTTAAAAGTGATATGATTTTTCATTTCATTGAGGCAGATGTTAAACGTATGAGAGCGTTGTCGCTTCCTCTATATTCTCTTTCTTTCTTTGCTTCTTTCTTTCTTTCTTTCTTTCTTTCTTTCTTTCTTATTATTTAGACTTTCTTTTTCTCTGTAAAAGCAAACAGCCCCTGATATAAATCTTCCTTCTGTCTTTCCTAAAAAACGAAAAACACCATTATTTATCTGCGGTAATGACATACGTGCTAACTTACGATCTAATGTGTTGTAGAGTAGTTTTCACAGTAGAGGCTTGTATTTCAATAAGTCTTCCTAAATTAGGTTCGACGTACAAAACGTTGGGAACTTGAAATAAGAGTTAATGACGCAGCAATCTAGTTGTGATGGGTGATACTTCAATATCCATCATCGACTGACTCGCTCAACACCACTGAGCCCAACTGGCGCCCGCTACTACTACTACTACTTATTATGTGTGGGAGAGTCTATTAATAATAAAATAGGTACGTCAGGTATAACATAATGATTATATGATAATTCTACTAGACATAAAATAGGGGATCGATTTTATTATTGCTATTAATTAATAAAATGGCCCTCCATTTGAATTGCTACATATGACTATAATAACTGGAAAAATATATTTAAAGACTGATATATGTCTACCTTTAATGGTAGTAATAATAAATTGACCCCCATAAATTACTATATTTTAGTCTAACTGATGAAATATATTTAGGAATCACATGTGGAAACTTAACAATAGTAAGGACTTAAAATAGTATTATTATATTAACAGGAGATCGAATGGCTGTGCGATGGTAAGTTTGTACCTTTGCAGCCAAGGTCCACGCGGTTGAATCACCCTCAGCTTCCATCCCTCTGTTGAGGATCGGGGGTGTTGTTTTTGTGTGTTGTATTAGAAACACCTCTGTAACTCCTGGTAGAACATTAAAGGATCCAACTACAACTAAAATATGAAAGAAGTCCAACTGAAGATAAAGAAGACAAACAAGACTAATATATATATATATATATATATATATATATATATATATAAGCATGACGCCCCGAGCAAGGCGTGAAGCCACTAGGATGCAGGGGGTTGCAGAAGATCTGGAGCGAGAGCAGATAGGAGTGATAGAAGAAAGGATGAGGAGAGGGATAGTGGGTAGATCAAGGTAACTGGAGATGTCGATTGATATTACATTTGAATAGTTGGAGATTATAGCTCTCAGGGAAACAGTAATTGGGAAGGGTGTTCCACAGGCGAGAGGTGCGAGGTATGAAGCTATTGGAGTAGAAGAGACGGCTACATTTAAAAGTTTCTACAGTGTAAGGGTGGGAACGGGATGCCAGCCTCGTAGGGCGCTTGAATTCATGGAGTCTGGGAACCAGTGAAAGCAGCTCATCGGAGCAATTACCATGAAAGTATTTGTAGAAAAGACAGAGAGAGGCGACGGCGCGTCTGTGAGAGAGTGACTGTAGACGAGATGCCAGATCAGGGCCAATTATATTACATATCCGTCTCTGGATCTTGTCAAGAACTCCGAGGTAAACAGAAGATGCCCCAGACCATATATGGCAGTAATACTCCATGCAAGGGCGAATGGTTGATTTGTATATTTGAAGTATCGATTCCGGGGCGAAAAATTTCCTGGCGCGGCACAGAGAGCCAACTTTCCTTGCGGTAGACGAAGCTATTGACTCAACGTATTTGTTCCATCTCAGGTCAGCAGTCAACGTGAGACCGAGCAGACGCAGGGAGTTGCTCCCAAGAAGTTGAATATCAGACATTCTAATTGGGGGCAGGGAAGGATCTCTATGGTGATTAATAGAGAGTAGTTTAGTTTTTGAGGCGTTAAAGTTGACCAGCCAATTCTTGTCCCAATTAACAACCGATTGGAGGTCCATTTCAAGACGCACGGCCAGGTTAGTTTTGTCACCGACACTAGATTTGTTTTTGAGGCAGGAGTAATATATATATATATATATATATATATATATATATATATATATGTGTGTGTGTTATTGTCCATTGTAAAATTGTTTTGTTTAATATATATATATATATATATATATTAAAAAAAATTGTTTAATATATATATATATATATATATATATATATATATATATACTATTACGAACCCCCTCCCTCCACCCTTTTCTCCAACCTTATCGATAGCGAAGGTAGAGGAGGGTCGTAATTTGTGTTATTTTGTTTTTTAACATTTTACATTTTTTTTTATAAAATATATTTCTTTCCCAAGGGTCTCTTTCCGGCCGAGCGGAATCGATTAAGGAACAAACACGATAAGCGACAAACAACAACGGAGACAGGAAATATGAATTTATTAACAAACATGGAATCGTGGAAAAGATAAAAATAAAAAAACGGCCAAAGCAAAAATGACGATATGTCAAGACTAAACATTCAAACATTGCGGACAAAACAGTGGGAGGAGAGCGTCCACTAAGAAAGGTAAACATAAAAATCAGCCTATGGCCTTATGCCATACTGCCACGAATTTATAGGACATGTGCTATACCTGCACGGATTCACAAAACATCAACATTTTAAGACAGCGTGGAAAGAAACGTATAATAAAAAAGATTTCATGCTAAATTTGCATGAAAGTACAAACACGAAAAAAGAGGTACATTTAAACAAAACGGGGTACAAGAAAAACAAACTTAACTCAGAATAATAAGTCCTTTTTCACTAACAATGTCTCTTAGTCTTATCTTTTTCTTTTTCCTTTTCTATTTCTTTTTATCAGGGTCTCTTTTTGAGGTATTCTCTTACTTCTTTCTTTTCGTCGTCTCGGGGCTCGGCTGATGATAAAGCAGAAAATACGTTCTCTCTCTCTTTCGTCCTGGTATGACAGTATTCTCGCTCGAGATGATCTGTTCTTTCTTTCTTTCTTTCTTTCTTTCTTTCTTTCTTTTCACTTTCGTCCTTCGTTTAAGGGCTTGATGCCGGTTGAAACTGCTTTCTTTCTCTTCGATATATCGGCGTTTCGCGTACGTCGTCAAGCGGGTCCATCTATCCAACTCGGAGACCAATTCTCCTCGCACTTTTTGCGAACACATCTGATCAGTCTGTATACTAAGACATTTGCCAAACGTCCGGCCAGCCAATTTTCAAAATACTAACTTTTCCCCATTATGGGTGGAATGGAGTCATCGACTCCCTCTCTTATCTTCAGGGTCAGAGAAAGTTTAGTTTAAAATGTTTCAACCTATCCCAACCGGAATCTATCCGCGTAGATCATACTGTCAACACCCTGACCAAAAGAGAAGGAAAGAGGACGCTCTGGTCAATCCTTGCCGCCACGAAGTCTACCTTCCTACCTTGGGTTTACTATCTTTACATTTTCTGCAAGTACTGGGCTCTTTGTTTTAGAATGCTTCTAAAATATAAGCAATGGTATATTTTTATAATAAATCTAGACCGGGGTTCGTAACAATATATATTAAACAAAACAATTTTACAATGAACAATAACATTTGTGTGTGTGTGTAAACATTGGTGTCTGTTCTTTGGTGAATGTTCGTACGCACGTGTATGTGGGTATAATGTTCATGGAGTCTCCCACAAATGGGAAAACGCGGATCTTCTAAGAGAGCTTACATTGTAGTCGTTGAAATGAAGAAATGAAAAAGAGAACGAGGCGAGAAGTCGCCCAGTATTTATAGTATAGGGAGAATGACCCCTAGTGACAATTTGGGAATTAAGGAGGAGCTAACTCTGACACCTCCCCTTTTTCACCCAGTTTGAAGTGTTAACGTCTCCTCCCGATAAAGCAGAACGTTTGGCTCGTAAATTCTTTTCTAATTCTACTCCTGACATATCTGGGGTATCTTTGTCTGACTCTCCACTTAGGACTGAGTTCGTGTTGATTGCTTTCTGTTATTTCTCTCCACTTGATCCCCACAAAGCATTTGGAGCTGATGGCATCCCTAAAATAGTCCTTAAGAAATATGCTCCTGAACTAGCTCCTAATTTCTACAATAAATAACTGGCAGCTTCTTGCTTTCCGATCTGTTGGAAATCCTCTTCTGTAGTTCCAGTCATAAGAATTCGGGTGAACCGTCTGGTAACCTTCCAGCTATCGGTCTCTTAGCTTTCTAGCTCATTTTGGAAAAGTACGAGAGGACCTAATCAACTCTGAATTGCTCATGCATCGCACATTGCAGGGTCTTCTTTCAGATAAGCAATCTGACTTTCTCTTCTCCGCTAATGTTAACTGTTAATATTTTAAGGATTATTGCTGAAAGAATATTTGAAACTTTAGATAAGAATGGTGAGGCTCGGTGCGTTGCTTTGGACATCTCGAAAGCCTTTCATAGGGTTTGGCATGACGGTCTTCTTCGCAAGTTGAAAAGATATAGTATTTCTGGTGGAATTTTTTTATCTGATTCACTCTTCACGAAATGAAAGTCATCCTGAACGGCCACTCCTCTATATCTTTCTATAGTAATGCAGGTGTCCCCCAAAGATCTATCCTTGGACCTACGCTGTTCTTAATTTTCATCAGTGGTCTTCCTGATGGCATTAGTTTCCAACTTGATATCTATGCTGATGATTCAACTATTTACTCGTGTCTTAATAGTAAGTCTAATTGGTCTGATATGGTCAAATTGGCAGTTGTTCTAAAAATGACCTACAATCTGCTGTTAACTAAGGTAAGGAATGTCTTGTTAATTTTTACGCTTCAGAAAACGAAACTGCTCTCTATTAACCATCTGAGAAACAACATCCTGTCTTCAATTCAGCATGGCTAATGCTAACCTCCAGGAAAGTGATTCGTTGATCTTTCTCGGGCTAACAATTACTGCTGACATGAAGTGCAAAGAATATATTGAATCAATTGCTAGGTTTGCTGCTAAGAAATTTTATTCACTATATCGTGTTAGATAATTTTTCTCTCCAGAATCTATCTAAATTTCTAAGTCTCCAATTCGTCCAGGCAATGAGTATTGCTGCCACATATGGTCTGGTTCTCCTGCTATACATTTAGAGATTCTTGATGAAATCCAAACAAGAATCTGCAATGTTATCGGTCCTGACCTGACATCTCGGCTTCAGTTCCTCTCCAAACGCCGTAATGTAGCTTCCTTGTGCATTTTACTTTCATGGTAATTGTTCTGATGAACTTTCCTCTATGGTACCTAGACTTTATGAATTTAAACGCACTACTAGATTTGCGGCAAGGTCTCCTCATTTTACTGGTGAAATGCAACCGCAACTTCTATGCTAACAGTTTCTTCTATCGCACTTCTCGCTTGTGAAACTCTCTTTCGGTCTCTAGCTTCCCAGTCAATTTTAATCTTCAAAAACTTAAATGCAATGCCAATCGTTATCTTCTGTTGTCTTTCTGTTCTTTTACTATTCTCTCTACTTAATAGTATTTTACTTTTTTTTTTTCATACTCTGTAACATTAAGTACCCCCCCCCTTGCGTCTTAGTGGCTTTATTGCCTTACTTGAGGCAACATGATTTTTTATAAATTCCTTTGGTAAAATAGGCGTTCCATTTTTTAAATCATTTCACCCCAAGCAAGGCAGGATAGTCACTACTACTCAAGGGATTACAGATAGAGAAAGTGAGAGGAAAGACTGAATATAGGGGGAATGGGGAAAGGATAAAAGATGAAAAGGGTTCAAGTCAACAGAAGATGGCGGTTGACGTTGCACTTAAATTTTTGAAGATTGTAGTTATTAGGGAAGCAAGTAAGCGGAAGGGAGTTCCACTGTCAGGAAGTGCGAGAAAAGAAACTGAGTAGAAATGGTGGTTACATTTAACTATTTCAACAGTAAAAAGGTGGGACTTAGATGCCAAACTAGTAGTACGCTTAAATTCATGTAGTCGGGGTATCAGGGATAAAAAAAAAAACTCCCCAGAGAAGTAACCATGAAAATATTTGTAGAAAAGACAGAGGGAAACCACATCACGTCTGTGAGAAAGTGACTGAAATCGAAGTGCCAAGTCAGGTTCGATTATATTGCAGATCCTTCTTTGTCAAGAATCTCAAGATGATTAGCAGGAGCACTAGACCAGATATGGCTGCAGTATTCAATTCACGGACGAATGGTAGGTTTGTAAATGTGCGAGATGCTCTCTGGCGAGGAAAACCTTCTGGCACGACACGGTGAGCCAACTTTCCTTCAAGTAGATACAGCTACTGATTCAATGTAGTTGTTCCACTTCAAGTCAGTTGAGAAAGTGAGGCCAAGAAGACGCAGAGAGACGCTGTCCTTGAATCAAGCATAAGCCATGCTGATGGCGGTCAGGGAAGTTTCACTATGGTGATTAAATGAAAGTAGTATTTAGAAAGCTTCTTTCCAAGAACCACTACTTTGTTGAACAGATCTCCACATGCAGGCTTCCTTAAACACTCCACTTACTTTCATGTCACATATCTCATTCAGTAACCCTCTAGCTTGGGAGGATCTTGAGACTTGGAACTTTTTTTTTTTAAAGGCCAGCAAAGTCACAGCCGGGAAGAAATATCTGTCAATACTGTGTGAGTGAGCGAGTTTGCATGCGTGTATATATGTTTGTGTGCGTGATTAATTTAAATTCAATATATGTCATAGGCTAAGTTACATTTTACGATGTCATACAGACTTACCTACCCACGTTAATATAATTGTTATTTTGTTTTAGTTTTTTTTTTTTTTTGCATGTTGTATGATCCTATTATACGTGATCAACTTTTACGACTTGAAAGTTAGGAAAAAAAATTTAAAAAATCAGCCCGGACTCTTGAAAACGAATTTATATGACATTCTCTTTCTCAATTTCTCATTTCCTATTCTCTTTTCTTTGTCCTTTCCTTTTTCCAGTTTCTCTCTGAACATTCATATATGTATCTTTCTTTCTCACGCCTTCTTTTACCCTCTTTTTCTCTTTCTGTCTCTCTTCCTCTCACAACGCGCACCCGACCGCTTAGTGCACACAAAAAAAATAAAAATAAAAAAAAATCCATTCTTTTGTCAACAGAACAAGATCGTTAAAGATTCCAACAGAAACAATGGGCACTTTGACTTAGGGGAAATGGTTAACGAGCAAATCTGGCTGTAAATGACTACGATTCTACAAAGATTTCAGTGAGTTCTATCCTCACCGGGTGTCCCATATTTATCATGATATTTAATTAATTATAATCATTTGATCATATATGGTCACGTGACCGACAAAGAGACCCGTGTTCGAATCTCACCATAGTCGATTTGTCAGGAAGATGACTTCTTGATGTTATTAGCCTGGGAAAGTGACTGAGAACAATACCACGGGGTGACACACGCCTTGTGGGTTAAATTTGGTAAACGGAACTATCTGCGAGCCATCGATTGCTGTGATGACATAAAATCACAAGTCATAGTGACCGAGAGTTTGAGTGTACTGGTTATATTTAAACTGTTGATCCCGCCAGATAATGCGCTCTCTCTCAGAAGTTGTCATTAAAGTCCCCTCAGTATAGTTTCAGTACAAACTACTGTTGGACTCTTCAATCAAATCTGTCTGAGCAGGCGACTGCAAACGGGATTGGGCGTAATAGATAAGCATACTCGAATCCAAGAATAGTTTTTTTCAGGTGTACATGCAGTCAGATTTCGATTAAAGGCCTGTAAAAAGGAAATAGGGATTGATCTGATTTTTACGGCTTCTCAACCCTTTGTTGCTTATTTAAAGCCGAAACATATTTTGGGATTGTAAGAGTATTTCTTTTCTTTCTTTTGAGCGAATATTGCATTAACAATTTTTTGATAATAGAAGTGTTTTTTTCCAAGTATATGCCCTAATATTTAACCCACAGCTGCGGAGGAAGAAGGATTTTTGCCTTTCCCAAAGATATTTGCGCATAAGTGAATTCGAACTCGGCTTCCTGATTTCCCATTCCGAGCCGCTATCCATTACACCAGACGCAGATCCACCGTAAAAGACGAAAATAATTTTAATACATCTTAATATATTATATGGTTAATAATGTAGTAGAATCCTAGATAGTCTTTAGATGTGTACATGAGATAGGCTTTGGAGTAAAGGTCTGTAAAAAGTGAAAATATGTTGGATACATCCTAATATATAATAATAATATTAATAGGAATTCTAGTCTTTAGATGGCGGCACCGTGATGTAATGGATAGCGCCTCGGATTGAAGAATCGGAGAACCAAGTTCGAATTCCAGTCAAATCCTTTGCATTCACTTACTTGGGAAAGGTATGAATCTTTTTATTTCCCCAGCTATAGGTAAATAGCAGGACAGACCAGGTTCTATAGCCTTTGATGACAACTGGTCTACCGAAGAAAGAAATGTCAACCTACTGCGGGAAAAAATCTGCCTTGTCAGTTATGTATCGAAAGATACATGATCGCCTAAGTATGTATCACGAATGGTACATAACTGACTGACTTATGTAAGATGATTTAAAAACAGTAAAGTTTTCTTTTAAATGCACTTAGGTCTTGTATTGATTAAATATTGATGATATGAAATAATTTGAATAAAATATTTTGGAACCGGAGTACTGACACCAATGTATTAATTTAACACGGGGCAACACCGAGTAACCTTGGTTAAGTAATCTATGCACTTATGTACGAATACTGCATTTATGTATTCTTGGACGATGACACTCCCGATAAAACACAAATTCCTAAATAAACCCCAAAACAGACATATATTGAAAGGCATATTCTGCCGGCATAAAACAATAAGGCTTGTTACTTTTACTTGTGTCTTTTCACTTTTAGAAATAGGCGGCTTGTAAAAAAAAAAAAAAAAAAAATGGCAGAAGCAAGCGGTCGGTTAAAGACATTAATACGTTTGATTCCATAGGTAAGATGAAAGTCCAATTGGGACAGTTTCTTTTCAAGACCCGCTGAATTTGTGGAACGGACTCTGAAGAGGATGCTTTTCAAATCTCGACAATCTTAACCTCTTCAAGGGTCAGCAGTTACTTGTTGATATGAAACAGTTAATTGATAAGTATGAGACAAATGCGCCTCTACATTGAGTTGGCGAAAAAGTTCGTTCCGACTTTGTCATTAAATAGCACATTTCATTCTATTGTGATAACTGTCATATCAAAATGCCTATTGTCATTCAAATTCTAATAATAAAAAGTCAATCAAAGTAGAGGGTTACTATGTGGAGCTGTAAACATTTTCCCAAGCGTAGCTTAGATGTGGCACAAGGCCGAAAGCATGGAGCATCTAGTGAGGATCGAACTCAGTTTTCAGTAGTAACTGACCTAGCAAGACAAGATTGCTAACCATTACACCACGCCGAGGTGCCCAACTATGTGGCGGTGTATGAGCGTAAGAAAAGGTAAGAGGTGAAATTTTATCCAGGTAAGAGAAGGGCTCACTCTAGGCTTGAAGAGTTCAAGATTTAATTGATGAATAATAGCTTAAGAATTGGATACTGAAGATAAAAGAAAATAAATAATATTTTCGGTTTGTTATGTCTTGCTTATTATTATTTAAAGAAATCTGAAAATACGAATCAAAATGCAAAAGATTCAGACCTTCACAGATACAACCCCATACACAGAATCGAACCATCCTTCCCTCCCTTCGTATTCCATTGGTAAGGAGGAAGTTCCAACAGCTTCTTCTCATTACAATCTAAACTTCTACAAATCTAGGGTCAACCTTTATCTATCCCACTTATTCTCTTAATATGTACATCTTGATTCCTCCTTATACTTCATTACAACAAACTCATTTAGTAACCCTCTATATTGAGTGAATCTTGAGCTATGAAATAGAAAAAATAAAATATTATAAAATTTACAATATTGTGAAATCATATATAGCCTTTAGGAGCGTTCATTGAATAAGCTTTCGAGTAAAGATTTGTAAATGATAAAAGTACATCTTTCTTTTTTTTTTTAATCATTTCATCTCCAAGCAAGGCGGTAATGCCACTAAGACGTAAGCGGTCTACTGGAAGTGAAAGAGAATGAGATTTAGAAGGAACCGGAAACCCAGTCCTAAACAGGAAACAAGGGGTAAACATCTACTCCCGTTCATAAGACCGGGGACGTGTGTGAACCAGACGATAGGCGAACATATCCACCCCTGCTAATGGATACAATCTAATAATGATTACTCGGAGAGCCGAGTTCGAATTCCAGTCGAATCCATCGCATTCACTTATGTGCTAATACCCTTCGAAAAGGTATGAATTCTTTTCTTCCCCCAGCTATGGGTAAATAGCAGGACAGACTGGGTTTTTTGTTATCAACACACTTTTTGAAAATTAATTTTTTTGTGACAGATTACTTAAGTTTTGTTAGCCAAGTCAAATATATAATTAAAAAATGTTTCTTATAACCTAAACATATTTAGTGGATACACCTGTTTAAGTGAACATCCCCACTCATCTCTTTGTTTTTTAAGCAGTGTAATTGATGTCAGTGTCCTGAGCAATTGAAAATCTCAAAGAAAATCTGCCTCTTGGTAGGGATCAAATCTTTGTTCTCCTTGCATAGGGAAAAACCACCTTTTAAACTAGGTGTGCTTTAGACGACTCAGCCACAAGAGATCTCAGCAAAGAAAGGCTCAATTACTCTTTATAAGAAATGCAGATCTCACGGTGGAGTAATAGATAGCGGTTCAGACTGAGGACTCGGAGAGCCGAGTTCGAATTCTAGTCAAATCCATTACATTCACTTACGTGCTAATACACTTGGAAAAGGCATGATGCACGCTTAGGCGTTCATGTATCTTTCGATACGTGACTGACGAGGCAGATTATTTCCCGTAGTAGGTTGCCATTTTTTCTGAAGTAGACCAGTTGCCATCCAAGGATATCCATAGCTATGTCTATTGCTGGGGTGGGGAGAGAAGAAGAGGATCATACCTTTCCCAAGGGTATTAGCAAGTAAGTGAATGTAATGAATTTGACTGGAATTCGAACTCGGCTCTCCGATTTTTCAATCCGAGCCGCTATACATTACTCCACCGTGCCTCCTCATTTAATGGGGTTTTTATCATCTTACATGCAAAAACCCCTTTAATGTTTTAAATCATTTTCCAAAAAAAAGAACAATTTAATGCTTCTTAAATCATCTTCCATGCAAAAACCCTTTTAATGTTTTTAAATTATCTTCTGAAAGAAATGCAACAACAAAAAAAGAACAATACAATATTTTGCCTCTTGTGAAAAAAGCACCGACAAATATATTCCGATCTCTGTCTTGCATGTTTTTATTATCATCGCTTTGATCATTATGCAATTCTACATCAGACGCTGACGGAACATCTTTTGGTTCTTCTTCGATGTTATCGGAGATGACAATTTCAGTTGCGTCATTTTCATTTTCCACAACATCTAGAATTCAAACATCAACTTTTCTAGAATAATTCATTGAAATTTTCACTCGTTTTTCATTCGAAAAGTTTAATTATAATGATAGATAACAAATGCAAATACCACAAAAGCTATCAAAGAAAGATGACATCATTCTCAAGAACTACATACACTGTTCAATTGATTCCCCCAAATATAAAGTATAAATTCGCATTATTTTCAGACTGATCTCTAAAAAATACTCAAAGGAATGTACTACTTAGAGTCCAAAAAGCTTGATTGGGTAGGAACAAAGATCCTATAGAAACTGTGCAAATTCCATAAGGCAGCGGCTCGTGGGAAGAAGCTACTCGGGTGGAACTTACATCTCACCACTAGGATACGAAGGAAATTTAGCCGGATAGAACTATAGTTTAAATACAAAGCAAAAGCTGAACGGATGTTCCCTCAGGGAGAACCCGTGCCCTTGAGCGCCTATTGAGACTTAAACTCAACCCACACCTCAAATGGAACTCATACATACGATCCATCACTGAAGATGCTGGAAAAATGGTCGGTTCCCTGTACCCCTGCAGTAAGTACCTGACTCCTTCCGCCGACCTCTACCTTTACCAAATCAGGCCGAAA